TCTTCCTCCTCCTCCTTCGCTCTTCGACGCCCGCGGGACAGGATAATAGCAAGATGGCAGCGGAGCGGCATGACAAAATGCGGCGACGGCGGCAGAGCGGCAGCAGCAGCATTGTCAGCAAAACGCATGCATCCCCCTGTCTCAAATCGTGAATTTTCAGCGCAGGCATGAGCTAAGCAAAGCCGCGGTCCTTCCCAGACCATGCCTGGTGCTATCATTCAACAAGTTACTGGCCACAAGCGGCGCGCGGAGCCTGAGAGAGGGGAGGCGACACGGATCTAAGGGAGGCGAGAACAGCAAGCAGCGCGCCGAGGGCCCTTCGCCAGTGCTGTCCCTGTTATGTCCTTGGGTCTCGTATCCGTGTGTGGCACATACAGTCCATGCCGAGCGATTGATCGTCCAAGTATGGGTCCAGAGGTGTGTGATATTTTCATCGTAGGTGGGATCCAACCGTCATCCTCGTATATCAAAAGCAGTTGTTGATGGAGTTGTTTTTTCCTCGTCGTATGTCCAGTCGTGGGTGGGAGCGCTGACGAGGTCGTTGTTGCCAGGGACGGGCGATCCTGGAACATGATTGGGTCTTGGAGCCAGCCTCTGGCGTTTGCCCCTGAGACAGAGTCTGAGTGCCTGGGGACCCCGCTGCTGAAACAACCAAGGGAAGCGAGTCCAGGACTCTTGCACAATGGAGGCCCCAGGACCCGACAAAGCTCCGAGGGATAAGTTTTCGCAGCAGTGGTCCTCCAGTTGCCCAGCTCATCCCGTCCTTCGAGAGCGATGTGTCCTTCGCGATGTGTGCATGTGACCCCCCCCTCTTCTGGTGGCAAGGGCATCAACTAGCGAGGGCGTGTGGATAAAAAGGAGGTTGGTGGGCTTCCTCGTGGGAGCCCCAAAGGCACACTGGTGAATGGTGACCCGGTAGGCGTTAGCATATTACAAAGCCTCGTAACTTGGCCCGGAAGCCAGGAGCTCGGGGCGGGATGCTCCAGAATGAAAGAAACCCCAAGACGCCAACACAGGGCAGCAATCTCCAGGATAGTCCTCAGAAGGCGGCTGCCAAGCGAAAACCGGGCGTGTTCTCGCTCCCCTATGCTCTTGAGCCCCGAGAGAGCCTCTCGAGAACGCAGCGGTCTCGGTGGCTTGGTTCTGGCACCGTCGGGCTGAGATCGTCGGGCCGCTGGCTTGGTTCTAGCTCCAAGTGGGAATTTGAGGCCGAGATCGTTTCGGTTCACAGGGTCTTGGGACCCTAAGTCGCCACTAGTGGCAGCATGGCCACTGAGATTGTGACGCGGGTTCGGGTCTCGGGAGGGGCCCTGGGGCCCTGGGGGCCCATCAGGGAAGCCATAGCTCCACGCAAAGGGCTCGCCATAAACACCTAAGTGATCTACGCTGAGGCGATGGCAAGTGTTATGTTTTGTACAAAGACTGTACTTGGAAAGATCTCACCCAGGGACAGGAGGCCATGATACGACAAGGACGCGAGCGAATATACCGGACGGCCATGGATTTGGCACGTGGCAACAGCAATGACATACAACATATTCACACGGATATACTACTATTGGCACGACGGCTATCAATGGACCAGATTGTGACTATCGCTCGGCTACGATGTTTTGTCCGAATCTTACACCACGCCCCACCCCTTGTCAGAGTCTGTTTGCAGCATCTTGCTGCGTCTCCCACCGGTTGGATAGCTTAGTTGGCCAAATATTTGGTTTGGCTTGCCAGCTTTCGACGACAGGCAGCGACCCGACGATGTTTCCATGCCCTCTTGGATCGATATGGCTCGACAGCATCCCAAGTATTTCCAAGGGCTGATAAAAGCGATGCCAAGAGAGTCTTAGCACGCTCCCTTGATCGCTACCACCTTGCCGCGTGGGAACGCAGGTTTGAGAAACTGGCCTCTGGCACCTCCTTGGCCCTGCCCCCCGCTGCACCAGCTCACCGATTGACCCGCCCAGAGTGTGCTCAAAAGGTTCGACAGTGTCAGAGGTCTCGACGCTCCCTTTCGCAAGTTTCATCCGCCCCCCCATGCCCCCAGGCAGTTTCTTGCTGGCACCGTGTGCCAAATCTGCTGCAAGTGCTTCCACCAACTGGGGAGGCTTCATAAACACCTCCTTCGGGCCAAGAGGGGCCAAGAGGTGCCCAAGAGGACTGGTGGGCCTCGGGGCTTCGGGCCCGTCCCGCGGACCTCCTCGACGACTGCGAGCTCCTGCGCCGGCAGACATTCTGCCAACCGGCGTGGAGGATTCCAGGATCACAGGGCCTGCGAGCCTCCGGTGCGTGTGTCCAGGGCCCCTTTGTGGTGATGCCTGGTTCGGGGGGTCCCCGTCCCGCTCCTCGGCTCGGCCCACTGTGGTTGTGCCACCGCCCCCCCTCAGCCCCCCAGTGCTGAGTCCAAACGGCCACCGTCCCGACGGCAAATGTACGTTCTGCATGCTTCCTCGGGGGATTCGCCGCTCGGGCGACGCTCAGGACTGGGTCACCAGGTGCTGGCCTCTTACCCTGCCCGTCTACAGTTGCTTTGAGCATTGCTATCGCTAACGGCCCTGAGTTTAGGAATCTCACTCGCTCTGATACGGTGGCCTCTTGGGAGTCGTCTCGTTCGTGCTGGCTGCAGCCGCTGTGGTGGCTGGCCCGCCATGCGAGACATGGTCAGTGGCGCGGCATCGAGACCCTCCTCCTCCTCCTCCTCCTCCTCCTCCTCCTCCTCCTCCTCTGGAGCGTATTAGGAATCGTTGGCGGACTCCTTCGAGTTGCCGAGTGCTGCAGGTGACCAGACCGAGAGGCAGTGCGGCGGTCTCAGCATGCCAGGGGCCGTACTCTCCGACCCAGACTGACGTCTGCTCGCGCGAGAAGGGCAGCGGCCGCGCATGTAAGAAGTCTGGTGCCCAGGGAGTCATCACCGCATCGCTCTTTCGTTCTTGCGATGAATCTCGGCTCCGTCGTCGCCGAATTCTCCCGATAGGGGGCCACATGCGAACCCTACCCCTACCCCCCCACGATTTCCCAGGGGTAGGGTGGGGTTCACTTCGCTCGGGAGCTCCCGAACGAAGCGAACCACTCCCTCCCCCTGGGAAATCGTGGGGGGGTAGGGGTAGGGTTCGCATGTGGCCCTCTACCCGATCTTCCCCATCCACGTCCTCCTCCTCCTCCTCCTCCTTCTCCTCCTTCTCCTCGGCCCTCCCCCTCCCTCCGCTCGTCCTCTCCTCCCCCAGTCTCATCCTCCTCCATCCCCTATTCCGATGCAGCTCCTCTTCCCCATCCACGTCATCCTCCTCCTCCTCCTCGCTCCTCCTCCTCCTCCTCCTCCTCCTCCTCCTACTCCTCCTCCTCGACCCTCCCCCTCCCTGCGCTCGTCCTCTCCTCCCCCAGCCCCACCCTCCTCCACCCCCTACTCCGATGCAGCTCCTCTCCCCGCCGCACCCCCCGGGCGTGTCGGCAGGGCGGGCGCCCCGGGGCTCGGAGGCACGGCCTGCGGAGGTCGGCAGCACACACCGCGCCGGAGCCAGAGGCCGTCCGCCCGACGCCCGGGAGCCGCGCGCCCGCGGCCAGCCGCGCTCTTCGACGAGGGCCCGTCGTCTCCGTCGGTGCTGGCCGTCGCGCCTCTCCGCCCCGCCGCGCCCCTATCGGCCCCGCGCCGCCCCGGCCTCCCGAGGCTCGCGCGCGCGCGCCTGCTCCTCGGCGCCTCGCCTCTCGGCCTCGGCGGTGGGGCTCCGACGGGGGGGCCTCGCCGCAGGCCGGCTCCTCCTCTCGCGGGCGTGTCTCGGCGCACCTCCGGCGTGTGCTGTGGGCAGCTGGGGCGGCAGTGGCCGCAAGGTGGCAGCGCGCGTGCCTGCACCGCTGCTCGGGCACGCAGGGGCGGGCCTCTGGTGTGCGCCGGATTCTCGAGGCGTCGCCGGCCGCAAGATGGCACCGCGTGCGTCTCAGCGCTGCCCGATTTGTCCCGGTCCGATGTTGTCCTTGTCTTGGTTTCGGCTCAGTGTGCTTAATGTCTAGATGGCAACGCGTGTGTCTGACCGCTGCTGGGGCGTGCATGCGCACGCCTTTGTGCCATTGACTTGCCGCGGGAAGGGGGTCGCGAGGAATCGTGGGGATGCAGACGAGGATAGAAGACGAGATGTGATGTGAGCGGGAGGACGATCGGGAGAAGGAGGAGGAGGAGGAGGAGGAGGAGGAGGAGGAGGAGGAGGAGTACGAAACGGATGAGGAGGAGGAGGAGGAGGAGGAGGAGGAGGAGGAGGAGGAGGAGGAGGGGGGAGGAGGAGGGGGAGGAGAGAGAGGGGGCGCGGGGGGAGGACGGGCGGGAAAGAGGGGCGGGGATCTGGAGCCAGGACGCGGCCATCGACAGGGCCGCAGGGAGGGTCAGCGACGGCGGCCCCCCACATCTCGAAGAGCTGAGGGTGGCCCCGAAGATCGACCCGAGCGCAGCGGAACGCCCTGAGTTCGACCCCCAGCCTCCCTTGGTAGAGCCGAAGGGGGCGAAACGTCGGGTGGAGTCGGGCCGCGGGCGCTGGCCGCTGATTGTGAGCTGGCCCCCCGGGCGCCAAGGTGCTTGCGCTCCCAGAACTGGTGCCGGATGGGCCCGACCGCCCCCAGCTCCCGATTGCGAGTTGTCTCACTTGGCGGGGATGTCATTGCTTAAAGCAGTTGGGTAACTTCAGGTCCGATCATAGACACTCCACGGCGTACGACGCGAAGGCCCCACGAGGCTTGTGCTAGGGCTCATGCCAGGTATGGCCGGCAAGTCTGTGCGACCCATTGGGCCCTTCGTGAGTGAGGTCGGGTCTGCGCGGAGGCTGGACATCAGAGCTTGCTGTCTTGGCGCTTTGGGAAGGCAGAAGGGGGTGCGAGGAGTAGGAGGAGGAGGGCAGGAAGAGGACGACGACGAGGGTGAGAACGAGGACGACGAGGAGGACCATGAAGCAGCTGGAAAGGCAGAGAGGGTGGGAGGAGGAGAGGCTGCGTGCTGACAAGCGACGGGTGCTCTTGCGCGGAAGGTCGAGACCATCCGCAGCAACCCGCTCCTGGCGACCAAGGTGGCAGACGAGGAGATGCCTCCTCCGCCTCCTCCTCCCCCCCCCTCCTCCTCCTCCTCCTTCTCCTCCTCCTCTTCCTCCTCCTCCTCCTCCTCCTTCTTCTAATTCCCCCCCTCCTCCTCCTTCTCCTTCTCCTCCTCCTCCTCCTCCTCCTCCTCCTCCTCCTCCGACGACGACGACGACGACGACGACGACGACGACGACGACGACGACGACGACGACGACGACGATCGAGAGTCGAGGATGGATGCGACAGGCTGTTTTTTGCACCCTCTTCGGTGGATCGAGGACGAGGAGGCAGAGGACGAGGAGGAGGCGGAGGAGGAGGAGGAGGTGGATCGAGGATCGAGGATGCTCGGTCGAGGATGGAGGTGTTTGGTGTTCGGATCGAGGATCGAGGTTCCTCTCAACCCCCTCCGGGGATCGAACATGGAGGTTTTCAGCTCTCGGGAAGTCTGTGGAAGCCTCGGGAGGCCTCCGGGGACTGCTGGACACCTCCCAGGGGTTACGTGTGGCGGACAAGGTGGCACGTGAGGAGAACGAGGGTCGAAAGTAAGTGTTTTCGGCCCTCGGGAGGTCTGTGGAAGCCTCGGGAGGCCTCCAGGGACTGCTGGCGACCTCCCAGGGGTTACGCATGGCGGACAACCCAGGCCCCCTCACGCTGTGAACAGATCACAGCGGGAGGCTTTTCGTTACTCTCGGCCTCCGAGAGGCCCCAGAAGACGACTCAGGATGAAACACCTGTCCCGGGGAAGGGGTCCAGACCTTTGGGGGGTCGACGCTGTAAACAAATCACGACGTCGGGGGTCTGGGCAGGTGGCACGTAAGGAGACGTGTTGTGTCCCCCACGCCCCCTAGGATCATGTGATCGACTGTCCAAAAACATCAAAAAACGATTCGACTGGGCGGACATTAGCGCGTCTGCCCGCGTAAGGTCGCTCGTAAGCGCCCTCGCTTCCAATGCAGCGTGCCTAGCTGGTGCCCCGTATAAGCCACCGCGTAAGTATGTTATGGTACGTAAGATCTGTTTATGTTCGTCGCTCATGTATTTCATTACAGTTGGTTTCCCTTGACACCACCAGTCGTAAAAAAACAGTCTTGCAGCGTCTGCAGACAGATACGTGACCCTCCGTCCCATCAAGCTCGTTCTCCCAGTTGTGCGTTGCCTCATATCGCAGCAGAGACGGTCATGTCAGTAGATTGGCCAGGGCTAGACCACTGGCTGGAGACACGAATGGCGTGGCATGGGCAGTGAACAAGTCATGGTGACAGAAACGTGCGTCTAGAGAACGGTTGCTCAGGATTTTCGTGAGGCGGGCTTTCGCGTGTCATTCCGCCTTGCCCCTCACGCGCAACGCGCGCTCACACTGCATGCTGCACTGTCGGGAGGCCGTGGTGGAGGCTACCAGAACAGTTCGAACCCGGAGGGAGTCGGAGTGTGCATCCAGGCGCTCGCAGTGGGACTCCCATGAGGTCTGGCGGAAAACCTTTGTTGTTACCATCTGAGTGAGGGGTTTCCGCTCAAGCGAGTCCGATTCATGCCGTGCACGCGTGGTCAGGGTCGGGGCGCATCGCTGTTGCTTTCTTTCCTCCGGATAATCCACGTCTCTTCTCCTTCCTCACGTCTTCCTGCGGCTCCTCCTGCCTCGGAGGTGCGACGAGGCGCCGGCGAGGCCGACCACTCGCGGCCGCACCACACGGTGGCAGTCAGAGGCGCCATGCCCGGCGGGAGCCCAGGCGGGCCGCCTGTCTGGGGGACTTGCGGAGCTGACGGCCGCGGCCTCCCTCGCGGCTGCGCAGCGGGCGTGGCCGCGCGGCCGCGCAGCGGGCGCGACGCGCGGTCCCCGCGCGCGAGGCACCCTCCGCCAGCGGGGCCTCCGGCGTGCAGCCTGAAGGGAGGGCGCGGGTGGCCGCAGCCGAGCACGCGGGCGCCGCCGCTCACTGACTCAACGCAGACGCCCACTCCCAAGAGCGCGAGGGCCAAGACGAAACGCAGGCTCTTCGAGACTTCGGGGAGGGAGGCTTTGGGGGCAGGGTTTGACCAGGGTGACAGCGGCGAACGCAAAACGTACCCCGAGATCTTTGGCCGATCTTCGAGTCCTCGGTGAATCCGCGATTTTGGGATTCGGGATGTGTGTTTTTTGGGTCAGCCGCTGCCCCAGCGGACGCCACGGCCAGCACGCGGTGCAACCGATCGCTCATGGCGTGCGCCCGAGGTGCGCAGAGCGTGATCTCAGCATCGCGCGGGCCTGTGCACTGGTCCCCCCGGCGAGGACCATCGAGGAGCGTCTCGGATCGTCTTGGCGCGCGCGAAGCAGAGAAGAATGCCCGGGGGCATGGACACGTCCGAGCGCTGGCAGGTGGCGGCATGGTGCCCAGGCGCGTCGTGCTCGCCCCGGGCCGTCGGAGGAGGGCGAGCGTCGAGGCAGCGGCGGCAGCCGGCCTTGGGGCGGGGGGGGGGGCTCGCCGCCACGGCGGGACGCAGCTCGGAGAGCGGGTGCGCCGGGACCCCGGGCCCAGGCCCCTGGCGGCGTGCACTTTCCGTGGCGTCGACCCCCCCAGAGGTCTCGACCTCCAGAGGTCATGCATTCTTCAGGGCGTCGACCCCCCGAGGTCTCGACCCCTTCCCCAGGACCGGCCCCTCATCCCGAGGGTCGTTTTCTGCCGCTCCCGAGGCCCGGGGAGGGCTCCCAGATATGGGCCGGAAAGGTTAGGAACAAGCTCCCGGGGCAAGGTATTTGTTCAAATGAACCCGATCGGGGGTCTGGGGGGGGAGGGGGTCCGGGGGCCGACTTCTCTTTTTTTGTTGCCCGCTGCCGCTGCCTCGGCTCGCCCTGCGCCGAGCCCGCAGCGGCCCGGCCCGGCCCGCGCGCCAGGCGCCTGCTCGGCCGCCCCCCGGGTCGCTGCCCGCCGGGTGCCCGCCCGTGGCGCGCGTCGGCGGCATCCGCCAGTCGGCGGCGGCAGGGAGGGGGGCGGACGGCTGGGGTTCAGTCGGGCCTGTCCCTCTACAGGGGGGAGAATTCCACAATAGTTTAAAACATAGTCTGGGGATTATGTTTGGAGCATCTTGGGGGCATTTTTGGAGTATCTGTTGTTTTTCGTCAAAAATCCCCCTGTAGGAGGACAGGCCCGACGTAAGGCTGGGGTGGGGGATCTCATGGCGGGGGCCATGCTGCTGCCCCAGACTTCCTGACGCGCGCGTCTTCTCGCGTGCTGCGGTGCGTCTCCGCCCCCCCCCGCCCCCTGGGCCGCGCACGTGCCGCCGGCCATGGCCCGCGCCCCCCCTCCCCCCCCCCTCTTGGACGCCCCCCCCTCTTGGCCGCCCCCGAAGCAGGGGGTGGCGCGAGGGGGGGCGGCCTTCCGAGAAGGCGGAGGGGCTTCTGAACAGGCAGGGGCTTGCTGAACAGGCGCCAGGGGGGGGGGGAGCCGCTCCGTCACAGTGAGAAGGCCTCTCAGGGGCCAGGCCTTAGACGCCCAGCCCCCTTGTGGGCGCCGCCGAATGTGCGCCTGCGCTGCGCCAAGTGAAAAGAACAGCGCGAACGCCTGAACGCGTGCGTCTCTCTCGCTGTCACACATCAGCGTTCACGGCCTCGTGGCGGCGCGGGCGACCGCGCCAGGAGCTCAAGCGGGAGCAGATCGCGAAGGCGAGGAAGAGCCGCGACGGAAAGGGGATGAAGGAGACCATCATGCACAACATGAACGAGAAGCTCTGCTGCATGGGCAAGCAGGCCGGCTGCCCCCTCGGCGAGCTGGCACCGCCTGGGATTCCTTCTCCGCCGTCCGCCGTGGAGCCTCCTCCTCCTCCTCCGATCGGGGGCTGCCAGAAGAGTTCGCTGGACAAGGTTGGTTTCGCTGGACTGGGGCCCCCTGGGCCCCACCTGCTGCCCCCTAGCTCGACCTGAGGCGCCCCAGCAGCCGTCGACATCCCCCTTGCGAGCCAGGAGCTCCTCGCCGCTCCTCCTCCGACGGCGCACTCTTGCCCGCTGCGTGCACCCTCGGGGGCCCATCCTGCGACGGGGCACATGCGAGGTGCCTCGATCGAGACCCGGCGCTGCCAGACCCAATCCTTCTTCGGTGATCCCTAGACAATCTTGCGAAAGTCTTCCCTGGGAACCCCAGCCGCAGAAGCGAAGTTTTTCTTGGAATCTCTGGCCGCAGGGGTCGTACAAAAGATCGCCGGCGAAATCTCTAGGGGCCCCTTCCCCCGAAAAGTCTCTGGCGAAATCTCTGGCGAATTCTCCTGCGAACTCTCTAGCGGTCCCCCATTAGAAATCTCCTGCGAATTCCGCCCCCCTTGAGAAATCTCTGGCGAAGTCTCTGGACAAATCCGCCCCCGCGAAAATCTCTGGGTCAATCTCCGGGTTGTTCGGTGAACCCACTAGAATCCCGACACCAGGACCCCGAATCAGGATGGACTGGAGGAGCAGGAAACCTTGGTATGTATGTGCGTGCGCAGGTTTGAATGGGATCGTCTCTCGGGTCGTTGTTGCATGTGTTGCCACCACCACTGTGTATTGTTCAAGCTTCTCGCAGGATGACTCCCGGCCAGGCTGCCGGCACAGGGGCGGTGTTTGTGGCTTTCCTTGAGACGGTGGTGAGGCCCCTCCTCGCCCGGGCGCCGCAGTTCCGCTGCCCCGGCGGCGGCGAGACCTGGCCCGCCGTGCCCGAGCTGCGTGCGCCCGCCTGCGGCCCCCGCGTCCGTGCGCGGCGGGGCGTGCGAGGTGGACGCGTGCGGAACGCCTGGCGGGAGCCTCGACTGGCTGCGTGCGATCGGGTGCTGCGCCTCGGTGGTCAGCACTCTGCGGATGCCGGCCTCCGCGTGCCGTCGTCGGAGCGGCGACAGCGGCATCGGGCGCGGCGGGGCGGGCGTTCTGGAACCGCCTGCGGCCAGGCGAGTTGTATCTGGCGTGGTTCGAGGACGACACGGTCTGGCACGAGAGGATGTGCTCGTGGCCGACGGCGGAGCTCGGGACGTGGATGACCGTGACGTCCGACGGCCACGTCTACGCTGAGACTGTGGTGGGGGCCGAGGAGGGCCGAGCACGGACACGGGCCGTGCGAGGCGGCGCCGTACCCTCCGCCATCAGGGAGCCCGTCTGCCGCTTCAGGGAACATCCTGGCACGAGGGAGCTGGGGATGCTCCTCACGGAGGCCCGCGAGGAGGCGCAGCGAAGCTGGAGGCGACGCCATGCCACCCGTGGGGTTTTACGTGGCTCCGAGCGGGCGGGAGCGGCCCGTCGCGGCCTTGCTGGGCGGCGCGGCTGCAGCGGCGGCCCCTGGCACTGGCGGTGGCGGCGGCGCTGACGGCGGCGCTGCGGACGAGGCGGCGCGCCTGCCCGAGGGGTTTTCGCTGCCTGCGGCTGGAGCTGCCCCGCCTGCCGACACCGAGTGGACCGTGGTGGACCTCTCGGTCGGTCGGGAGCGGGTCGGGGAGGTCGTCACGATCGGCGAGGGCGACCTGCTGCTGGGAGGCGCTGGCGGCGTGCCCGAGACGCTCGTGAGGAGCGGCGCCGGCTGGGCCAAGGTGCTGGCCATGTCGTCGCGCGAGCGGGAGGCCCTCAGCGAACGGGCGCGCCGCCCTGCCCGTCCTCTGCCCGAGGTCGGGGGCGGTCGGCGAGGCTGAGGCGGCGGCTGGCCCCGGCACTCCGCGGGCCGAGGAAGGCCTGGACGCGCTGGCGGCCCGCCTCAACGGCGCGGACCGCGCTGGCGCTGGCGCTGGCACGGGCGGCGGCGACAGCGACGCGAAGACGCTCGCCGTCGACTTCGACGCACAGGGGAAGACGTTCAAGCCGCGGAGGGAAGTGGTGGCCGAGATGACGAGGCACGGTTTCACAGATGGGCCTCTCGACGCTCTTCCCACGGCGATCATTTCTGCGCCCACATGGAGCGGACGGGCAGAGTACCGTCAGGCTGGCTGGACAAGTGGGCGCAGAACAAGGCAGCATCGCGAGCAGCGACAGAGTGTACTACGAGCTCAAGATTATCATCGACTCTTTGGAGTACGCGGGATGCCTCGACCAACTCTCAACCTCGGCTCGCTGGTTTTCGCTGAGCTCCTGTGTTTGAGGTTGCACGCCAATGTGGATACGTGCGAGAACAATCCTAGCAAGCCCAGTTTCGAGGGTGCGAAGTACTTCTCGGGACTCAAGAGCTTGCCCGACGTGGTCTCGCCCGGCTTGAAGAGTTTTGCGGCCCGCAAGGCCAAGGAAGAGACCGAGGTTGAGAAGCAGCGGCAAAAGGTCAGATAACTCCGAGGCAAAGCCGGATGAAAGGGAGGTCAGACCGACGCCGCAGGAGGTGAGAAGTGATCGAAGCGGCGCCGCGCTTGGGGCCGCCAGCGGGCACGGCGCGCACATGAGACTGGTGGGCCCCGCAACGCGGAGAGTTTCAAACCCGAGGAGATTTCCCCCGTGCCGTTGCTCGAGAAAAGGCCTCCTGCCCGCGGAGTCTCGCGATGAGTTTGCCAGCGAGTGGGACGTTGGTGCGCGTTGGACAACAGGGCCAACGCAGTTCAGCATGCTTTGCGCTGGATGACTGGCCGCGGTGACGAAGCTGGAGCGCGCCGAGCTCCCGCTGTCGCGGCGCCCGTTCACCGGGAGATGCACGACCGCGCGCTGAATGATATGCGCAGCTGGCAGGCGGCCGAGCGCCCGCTTTCCCAGGGGGGAGCCGCCAGCGCGCTTCTCCGCGCCGAGCCGGTGCACGACAAGGCGCAGATGATTGCGACGCCCTACGGGGAAGGCAAGTTCTCGCTGCCCGAGAACGTCCGCGACGCGAGGCGCGCGGGCCTGATCGGCGGGGCGCGCGCCCGCGATTTGCTCGAGAGGGCCATCGAAACGTAATCGGCGGATTCTCGAGGTAGATGAGCTCGGCCAGACTTTCGGAGTTCGCGCGCCAGCTTGATAAGAAGGGCATGGCTCATTGGAGCCGTAGTCCTGAGTGTTTGCCGATTTTGCCAAGGAGAGGAGCGGAATTATGAGGATAATTGCGGGCGCGAGACTTGTGAACAGGGTTTTCCGACCGCCTCCAGGCGTTCAGTTGTGCACCGCCGAGGGGCTGGGCCGCGCCGAGCTCCAGCGGGGGGTCGATCGCGCGGTCGAGCTTCCACCAGCTGCGGACGCGCGAGGAGCTCGCGGAGTGCAACGCGCTGCCGCCGCCGACAGCACGGGCCGCGGGCTTGCTGGAACGAGCTGGGCTGGGCGCCAGCTCCACCGACGAGCTCTGGCGGCCGCGCTGCGTTATTTTTCCCATGGGCTCCAGCTGAAGCTCGATCGTGGCGCGGGGCGTGAACGAGTACCGCGCCGCGCAGGGGCCTAGGCTGGAGCCGCTGCAGCCGATGGCGGATCGCCGCGGGCCCGCGGCACTGAGCGCGGAGGCGCTGGCGTCGCACTACGCGCTCGTGGACAACCTGGGGGCGCTGAGCGCGGAGCGCCAGAGAGGCGCCGAGGGCTTCGCGGGCGCGCGCGCGCCCCGCGAGCGCGCCGTTCTCGCCGCGCACGACCGCTTGGAGGAGCCGGCCGCGATGGACAGCCTGGGCGTCGAGCTGAACGCCGCGCGCCGTGAGACGCAGCTTACGGCTGCCCGCTATTGGCGGCTGGATGCTGGGCTGCGCTGGTTGCTGGCATGGCGGAAAGTCTCAGCTCGCATGATCGAGCTCTTCGTGGGCCACTGCGCTAGCGTCGGCCTGCTAGTGCGCCAGGCCATCTCCGTCTTCCACGCGGTGCGCAAGTTCGCGCAGGCCCACTCCGCGGGGCTCTCCCCAATGTGGCCGGCTGCGAGGGCCGAGTTCAGGGCTTTCTTAGGCCTCGCGCCGCTGCTGATCACCTCCGGTCGACGCTGGCGACGCCTGCGAGACTGGAGGGGGGAGCTGCTCTACACGGCGGGGCGCGGAGGCTGCGGCCCGACGCGCACGAGTGTCCGAGAGGTCGAGGTACCGACTGATTTCAGCCTCTGCCAGAGACCATGCTCCATTGCAGACGGGCCTCGGAAGTTTTGGCGAGGTCGGCCCAGACCTTCCCGACGAGGATAGCCGATTATCCCGAGATCCCAAGGAAGCTGCTTCAGAAAGCTAACTGGCGCGCCACCCTTCGCCGCTGGAGAGCGGCAGAGCACGTCGCCCTGCTGGATGCCCGCGCGGCGGTTGCCGCGCGCGCGCTCGGCCAAGGGCTGGGGGGCGCAAGCTGCGCCTAGGCGACAACCTCGGGATGGTGTCCGCTTGTGAACGGTGTCGGGCGCGAGATTTTGCAATGTTGATCCATGTAAAAAAGTGGTGCGCTATATGTCTTGGCAGAGAGATTCGGCCAGCTACCAGATGGATCCCGTCAGAATGGAACGCTGCCGATGAGCCTTCCGGAGACTTCAAAGGGGGCCCCGTCCGTTTGCCATGGCCGCCTGGGCTCGAGCTTCGTGCTGAGGCCCTAACGGCGCTCCCCGCGGCGCTGCCTGCGGCGGCGCGCGGGCAGGCGGGCGCGGCTCGGCGACGACGGGGCGCTGGCGACCGGCAGACGGAGACCGCTGCCGCGGCTTCTCTGCCGCCGAGCCAGAGGGCCGCTGGGCGCGCTGCGGGGGGCCGCCAGCGAGTGCTGACCTCGCTGACCCCGCGGCCCCTGCCTCGCTGACCTCCAGGCCGCGCTGCAAGCCGGCGAGGCGCTCCGAGGACTTCGCGGAGATCGACGCGGCGGCCGAGGCGTCGAACGACCGCGACTCCGAGGGGCCCAGCGAGAGCCCG